TTGCATGCTTGGAAGCGTTTTGGTGCCGGGCGCGTCCTACATATTTCATATTTCGTTTTCGATGGAAAACGGTTATTAATTCCCTTGTTCTACAAAAGAAACGTCTGACAGTCGATGGTTGAAAATTGAGGTGTAGGTGACGCGGAAAAATGGAAAAACATATGGAAGATTTTTATCTATGAATAAGGCGCCGACGTTACCTCAATGCAAGCGAGGTAAAGAATGTTGTCTTTAATGACAATACCCAACACGCTGTATCTAAACGTGCCTTCTTTGTCATCGTTTATTCGCAATTCACGGCTGCAACATAAATAAATGGGACACGAGTAGGTCTTGGTCCCTCAGTCCCTTAAAACAAACCACGAAAACAAGCGGAGATTCAGGAACGACTTTGCGAGATGTCTCCCTTGATCACTTTCAATGAATTCTGAAAGAGTCCGATATACAGGAATAATATTCAAGAGTTGATGGAGCTGCTCATCCAAACACCAGAGTTTCTCGATCGGTAGAGAATCAGATTAAGAATGGAGATGTTCCAGTTAAAATCCCCGGTCGGGTCACTCGTGTTCCTTCGTTCTAATCTTGATGAACTGGTACCACTTCGTTTACAAGAAAACAGAAGGCTAAATGCTATAATTATCCTCCAACTGCAAATATGGCTTTAAAAGGGACAGATTAGGGGACTCTTTACCGATTACACAGCAGTGACAACAAACGGTTCATGAAAAAGAGTGCTAAGCATATCGTTAGTGAGGTTACTACTGCCTTATGAGCAAGAAATGCCCTGGTCCATTCCTTTTAAGGCTATTCCATTAGATGTCAGTTACGGAAGCACAAGGACGATCGATATCAGAACCTTCCCATTTCGTGCTTTCTCTTTGGGCAAGCACTTGAAACATGAGATAAAATCTCTGTGATATATGTAGAGGAGGATTCATTTAATATAATATGGAATATAATAATTGCCGTCTACATCTCTGTAACCAGTAAGATTTGAAAACACCTATGTGTGTTGTTAAACAGCAGCTTTTTCCCAGAAGTTTTCTGCATGCGATTGTGCAAATAAGGATGATTAGCGTATCATCTGTGCAATGCTAATCTATTGTCACTTTATCATAAAAATAAAAATATTTTGTTCTGCAGAAAAAATCTCCTTCGTCCATTTTTTGTTCAGAGAATAGCTTAGCTTTACAATTTTACAGAGGATAATTTCAGCTGCAACAATTCTAAGCTTTCCATTCAGAGTCGCATTGATGGTATCTTTTCCTTTAACGCGCTTGTCTCAAAGAATCGTGGGAATTTCTCACTCTCTTTGATGGGACTGACCTTTCGGCTGACCATTTAAATTTACAGCCTTCATGGCAGCAACAATTTATCGCTAATATTCCCATACTAATTTCCCCAATATCCTCACATGTGATCCGATCATATGGTAGAGAGTGATTTCCATTTTAAATCTCGTTATTGTGTGACATTTAGACAAGGCATAACCCCAATGCTCCCAAACAGCGACTACACAGTGGCTTTTTAATTCCGGAGTTTCGTTATAAACGAGCTGAACATTTGCTTTCAACTTTGGTAGCAGAAATTGAAGTTTTATGCTACAACGTGGCACTAGTGGAATTGGACATCTACAATGTTGTGGCTACCCAAAGACATCAGGGTTATGCTACGTGTTTACCCATGAATAATGGCAGATTTCTTTGACAGGCGACCATGTCTTTGTCGAACCAACTCAGAGATGCGGCTCTGCATTCAGGGCTCTGCCACACATGAAAATGTGGCCTTCTTAAATGGTACTACGAGACGAATAAAAGTTAGAGGCATGTACATTTATGCTGAGTAAATCCGGAATCAGAATTTGAAGTTTTGGGATTACCTATGGAACTGGAAAGCCATGTAGAGATAGATGCTACTGAACATCAAACTTATTCTTTGCCAAAACTTCTTTCTAGCATGTTTGATTGTTCTATCATTTAGTTTACCTCAATAATGCAGCAGAGGATGACTAGTTTTCGTTACATCGGGATGTCAAAGTAGTGCCTCCCATTGCCTTCACAAGCACTGGCAAACCATGTAAGCAAGGCACATCTCCATAGCACTTGGGGATCTGGCAATATAGCGGAACCATTGAGCAAATCGTAGCCTAAAGATATTACGGAAATACTCTGTCATTGCAATATATCCATGCTTGATGGCGTAGTCTGCCTGCGACTTCCAAAGTAGCTAGAAACCAACCGTAACTTATTCAAAAATCGTAAGAGCTGATAACCTTATATATAGAAAACTAACAACCTTCAAAACAACAAAGTTCATGAACGCGCTCTAGCTATCCATCTGCCATGTACTGAAAATATGTGTCGATACGATGGTTGAAGGATCACTCAGTTCTTGAAAACAGTTGAT